GAGATCCCACGGAAAGCCAAGGTGAGTACACGTCAGGTTCTTTGCTGTCGTGAGACATGTTCCATCTGCTTCCAAGCTTGCTGTGGCTACAGCAGCGAACTACCTCGTGACTCCCACTTCGAGTCGGCGGATGTACATCACAGATGCAAAGCCTGTTATCGTGCATCTCGGGCCAACAAGACAGCGGATGCACCTTCCTCAACGTCGACCACGTATGATGCATCCCAAGACGCTGGTGGCTCTTGGCACTATGCATCACAGGACTCTGGTGGCTCCTGGCAACCTTCATCTGGTTGGAATTCCAGCCAGGGTCGCTGGGAGTGGGACTCCTGGAATGGGCAATGGACGTGGTATTAACTACATCCTTTGCGACGTCAAGGTGGACAACCTGCATCTTTTTGAGCTTTCTGCTCCGTTTTGCGGTGGTGTATGTCCATCTTCTACATTGCCTTTGACCGCACAGGCCCCTTTGGCCTCCCTCGCACATGTAAAAAAAGAGATCAGCTGAGCCGTTGTCCTTTTTTGGGCCTGCTTGCTATCTCTCACGCGCAATAGCTCGCAGCATTGCATCATCTTTGCTGTCATGGCAGCTTTGCTCTCGAGCTTTTGCATTCGGGGCGGGTGGGCCGGGCTCTCGTGCTCTCCCACTTTTCCCAAAGTGCGGGCCCTGGCTGTCTCGCCTGTGGTGCGAATGGCCCTCTGCTTCACTTGCATTCCTTTTTTGTTCTTCAGGTCACGCTGGTGTGGCACGCGCTTGCCTACATCAGTCCCTGTCCTGGCCTCTGCCTGTGGTGCAGAGGTGAGTTTTTCATTCCAAGTTTCATGTGCGTTTCTTAGGTCGACCTTCTCATCGCTGCGGCCTTCCCTCAGGCTGTGCCAGTTTCTGCCTTAAAGGGTTTTCTCTGTTTGTGGGCTGCTGTGTTCTTTTTCGCTGCTTTGCCCACTCAGGTCTTCCTCGCTATGAACGGCGACTCGAGCGACGAGGATACTCGCATCGCAGAGCTTTCGGCGTGCCGCTGGCCGATTCCATCTCTATCAGATGAGGCCTCGCCGATCTCTGCATCAAGGCCGGCCGCTGAAGCGCTTGATGCAGCTGACCCACCGGGTCGCACCATTGAAATCGGTGTTCGTTTGCATAATCAGTCCTTGTGCTTCTTCGACATTACATCAGGGC